GAGGGTGTAACGGTGTGGTGTAGTCGGCGGTTGTCTACCGCAGATCGTCGTGAATGCGCATGTGGCCGAATAGGCCCATGCGATGCGTGAAGGGGCGAGGGCAGTGTGGCAGTGGAGGCGAGTGCGGTGGGTGTAGGTTGGTGCTCCAGGCACTGGTTCGCCAGTCTCTGTGGGATGGATTCGCAAGTGGCCGACCAGGCCGATGTGTGAGGTGAAGGTGCGATCGCAATGAGGGCAGGTGTAGTCCTGGTCCTCACCTCTGGAGTCGGAGGTTGTAGGCGTGGTGTCTGTTGTAGTGTCGGGGATGTGTGCGGTGTTGTCGTGCGTGACAGCCGCCAGAACGGCCGTCGTTGGTGCTATGGAGGAGAAGGAGGAAAAGTTGGAGGACGAGGAGGGGGGGGAGGAGGAAGAGGAGGAGAAGGCTGGCGTGGAGGAGGATGGAAGTGGTGGTTCAGAAGAGTAGTCAAAGTTAGTTGACGGCGGAGAGGACGAGGAAGAGGCGGGCGGAGGGACGGCTGATAGTGCGGTCCGAGAGGTACAGTTGACCCGAAGGTGTCCAATGAGTCCAATTCGTGCCCCGAATGTGCGTTGACACCGAGGACACGTGGGAAGCGGTTGTGAGTCGGCGTTGCGGAGTGAGCGCAGCTGTGATTTGCGTGCTTCGCGTTTCACTTTGGCAGCGGCGATGCGGTTGGCTTCATGGATCGCAGCGCTTGTCTTCACTGTCCTTCTCCAGGTCGGTCGGTCGAGGGCGAGCTCTTCCCATTTGGTCGGGTTAATTTGCAGACGCTTCAGGGAGGACTTCAGAGTATTCTTGTATCGACGAATTTGGCCTCCTTGGCAGCGAGAACCCGTCGCGACGTCTCCGTAGATGAGTCGTTTGGGTAGTCGCTCGTCGTCCATGCGCACCAGGTGGCCGCTCCGACGCAGCTGCATTTGTCTCAACATGGTGTAGATATTGAGGATTCCCGTCCGTTCCAGTACGTCAGTGTCGGGGATGCGATTCTGCCAGCTCAGCCTCAGGATGCGACGAAGACAACTAAGGTGGAAGTGGTTCAGTCGGCGTGCCTGCTTTGTGTACACTGTCCAAGTCTCCGCTCCGTACAGCAGCGTCGGCAGGATGACGGCCTTATACATCTTCAGCTTCGTGCTCAGTTGGAGACCGTGACGATTCCAAACTGTGCTTTGGAGGCGGCCGAAGGCTTGACTGGCTTTCGAGATCCTGCGAGCGACTTCGTCATCGATTTTGGTGTTACAGGAGAGGGTGCTGCCCAGGTACGGGAAGTTTCCCACCACTTGCAGTTGGGTTCCGTTCACGTTGATTAGCGACGCGTTGGGAGGAGCGGCTGTGTTGGGTGGCGGTTGATGTATGGCCATCGTCTTCTGCGCGTTGATGACCCGAGCGAAGTTCTAGCAGGCGGCGGAGAAGAGGTCCATGCTCCGTTGCATGTCCTCTTTCGAGGTGGTGCTCTGGGCGCAGTCGTCGGCGAAGAGAAGTTCGTGAACGGGGGTTGTGGATACGCGTGATTGGAGGTGCATCCGACGTTGATTCAAAAGGCGGCCGTCCGTCCTGTAGGCGATGAGGATCCCAGGGCGTTCATCACGGCAGGCGTCCATCAGCATGGCAGAGAACATAAGACTAAAGAGGGTAGGCGTATTCGCCTATAGCCTCGCAGGAGACCACAAGGTAAGCGACCCCCAGGTAAGATGAATATTGCCTTGTTGTCCTTGTCCGCTCACCATCTCCATTTCAGCAATGAGCTAGCTCAACGGCTAGACAACCTTCCAATCGCTGCCGACGCCGCCGCTGCCGAGAAAGCCTCCGTGGAAAACCACTGGTGTCAACTGCGGGACACAGTCCGGTCGACGGCGCTAGCCGTCCTCGGTCGCGCACGCCGCCAACACCAGGACTGGTTCGATGGCAACGACACCGTCATCAGCAACCTGCTCGCCGAGAACCGCCTGCATAAAGCCTACGTAGACCACCCCCCCCCCGACGACAACAGAGCTACTTTCTACCGCAGTCGCCGCCACCTTCAGCAACGACTGCGCGAGATGCAGGACGCCTGGACTGCTCGCGAAGCTGAGGAGATCCAAGGATACGCGGACCGCAACGAATGGAAGCACTCCTTCTCCGCGATCAAAGCTGTCTGCGGTCCGCCGACGAAAGCACCGCTCCTCTCCTCAGCGCCGATGGCAGTACCCTCCTGACGGAGAAGACACGAATTCTACAGCGATGGGCCGAGCACTTCCGAGGCGGCCTTAACCGCCCCTGCACCATCTCTGACGCCGCACTCGTCCGCTTGCCGCAAGTAGAGACCAACGTGGACCTCAACCTCCCGCCATCTCTTCAGGAAACCATCAGGGCCGTGTAGCAGCTCTACAGCGGGAAAGCGCCCGGATCGGAGGCGATCCCTGCTGAGGTCTACAAGCACGGTGGTCCCCAACTAAGGGACCACCTGACTGCGCTCTTCCAGGAGATGTGGCGTCAAGGCGAAGTCCCGCAATATTTCAAAGACGCAATCATCGTGCATCTATACAAGCGAAAAGCGAACCGCCAACTCTGCGACAATCACCGTAGCATCTGCTTGCTGAACATCGCCGGGAAGATCTTCGCTCGCATCCTCCTCAACCGACGGAATAATCTTCTGGAACAGAGCCTTCTACCGGAAAGCCAGTGCGGCTTCCGTCGTCATCGCGGGACCACGGATATGATCTTCGCTGCCCGTCAAATTCAGGAGAGGTGCCAGATGCTGACCCACCTGTAGACCCACCTTCGTAGACCTGACGAAAGCCTTCGACACGGTGAATCGTGGACTGTGGAAGATCATGCAGAAATTCGGCTGTCCCGAGCGATTCATCCAGATGGTGCGTCAGCTGCACGACGGTATGATGGTGCGAGTCACGGACAGCGGAGCTGTCTCAGAGGCATTCGCAGTGACCAACGGAGTGAAGCAGGGATACGAACCCCACCCACATCACTCACCACGGGCACGGGATAGGCACCCCTAACGTAAGTGAGGGGCCTATCCTCGGCTCCTTCTCCATATGGTCGTCGTGGCACTCAAACGCATGTAAGACCCAAGCCTCCCACTCCCCTTTCGCGAACGTTTGGTGCGTTATGCAGCGGCCAGGTCGTGTGTGGCACGCGTCGACAGACTGTACAGCCCTGTCAACTACCGGCGTCCAATGCCTGCACCAGGACAGTGCACTAGTGCCTAGGATATGAAAGAGGTCGACTCTGGGGACTCCGGACACACGGCACTCAGCGCATATACAATAAACAATCCCACGACCTTCCAAACTATCACGATGCGCTAAAAGCCGTTGGATTTGAAGACTGCTGACAGGATAACTCGGTTGTCCTCTCCGAGTGGAGAACTAGGCTGCAATGGCACTTTCATGTGGTCTCTATGTCACTTCCACTCAGCCTGGTTCCGAACCCCCCTGTTTCTGTGAAACCCTGGTTCTTTGAGCGCGAATCAGACATATGATACGCGTAGACAGGATGTCTTGCCTTGTAAGTTACTGCGCCCGACTTGGCCTCTGGTCCTCTAGACTTTGTTTTCACACTGGGTTCGGTTGGGTGAAGGAGGAGAGGGTGCGGTAGGTGCAGCGCAAGTCCGCTGCCATCATAAATTAATTCACGCACTATTCACCGTACCTGCACTTGCCATGCCGCGGGACACACGGTGGACACAATCGCTCGCGACATTCAAACTGTCAAGTGCTTCATTCTGGCTGCGAGATGTAACGCCAGTGTTGTGTTTTTCCATAAGGATCCAAGTCCAGAGCTCCCGCAGATCGCACAACTACCAATAACCGATAAAAATTACCGGCAAAGACAGGGGAGACCGGTGTGCCATACTTATACAAGGCTTGATAGTCAACCGTACTCGGGTAAAAGCCACAGATTCTCCTAACCTGCGGTTGGTGGAAATCATCAAAGGGCTAAAAGTCCCATAAAGTAGCGTGAGAGTGCATGTCTTGCTCAAGCGGTGAGCCTGCTTAATCCCAGTGCTCATTGGTATGCTAGAACGGCGTTTATATATGTAAGTGAGCCCGTAAACGCATCAGTGGGAACACGGCATAGTATGTGCGTCCATTGGGTTGGGCTTCCCTAACGCGAGGCGTGACGTGACGCACACCCATGAAACTTCAATCCCCCGCTCATCCAGTGTCCTGAGAATAACTGGACGGGAGTTAAGCATAACCTACACACAGCTGGCTAGTAGCGACCTGGAGAGAAGTGCTTTTCTGGAACTCTCCTATAAGATTTGACTAGATTTGTATAGCCATCGCAGATGGAAAAGTGCACATTACTTAAGCGGCACTTTTCCCGAATGCATAGCGTAGTTGAAAAGGTATCCAGTCAAAAGCCAGCATTCTACCGGATAGAAACTGTCGCGGGGACGCCTTCGGATAATCGGTTTTCCAGAATCACCAAGGAACTTCGCATCTCAAATTGCACTACGCAATCTTGGACAGGGTTCTGTGAGACTCGCTCACGGGTCGCGTAGACGACGGCCGGAAACCGAATGCTGTCCTCCCAAGACAAATGCAGGCTAACAAAACAAGAAGCCAGTGGATGACAGACACACAACGTCCATTAAACCCTTCAGAGTGCTACCTGGTCTACCGAAAAACACGTCCGTGGCAGACTTGATAATAAAAAACTGGCAAACATTCAGAGGTCAGTGATGGATAGTTTAATTTCTTTTAAAATTTTGTAAAAAAAGATTGCGCAAAACTCGAGCAGGTTTGGGGGGGTGGTGTTTGATACAAAGAGGAACAGACTGAGTGTGTGTGGAAGCCAACTGTTGAATGGATACAGTATCAAGACTGAGACCGGGGGTGGGAAGGCTATACACAATATAAACAGTGGCGGCAGGGGCGACGCCAAGGCAGAATAGAAAGAAGTCGCAAAGAGCAGATATGTACACAGTGCAGTCGCCCGCCAGGGTGGAGATAATCATCACCCAAAGATCACACGCACACAAACACAGACAGGTAAATGAACCCGCACTGCTCAGGGCAGGCGACCGTGTGCGGCTCTGTTTCTTCTTAAATGTACACATTTCCCGAAACTGTACCTAGCTGGCAGGCACTAAAAGCCAGGGGACTATAGGGTGGAAATAGAGCGGGATAGTGACCGTAATAATTGGCGTTTGTGTGTGCATTAGAACTGACAAAGGCACAGCCTCGTGTGAGTGTTGGCCTGGTGGTCCACAGAAGCACGCGCGGGGGCGGTGTGCTTCTGAATTCTCCGTGTATGTGCGTGCGTGTGTGAAAGATGGAAAACAGAGCTCAAAACGACAAGGCCGCAAAAGTGCTCCAGAGAGGGGGTTGAGAGAAAATATCCACAACCAACTTGATGGAGGTGCAATATGCAAATTATCATCTCCAAAAGGACTTGAAGTAAGTCTTTGACCGACAGAGTTTGCCATCCTTAGAGAGGACCAGCTGCAAGTCTCGCAGACCTGCCTTTCGGGCACGAAGGCTCGCGGCCAGATTGAAACTGGAGGATGGAGCAAACCCGGTGGAGGCCGAGAGGGGCCGGCTGGCCAGACCGGAGCCGCTAGAGCCCACCCGGCTGAGAGCACCCGGCTTGCTGGCCAGACCGAGACATGACGTGGAGGCGGCGACGTTAGTTTGGAGAAGGCGAAGTTGAGAAGCATTTACGAGGGAAAGACGACTCCCTTGCGGCATGCCTGATATTTGTGAGCCAGTCAGGTCACCGCCAGCACCTAACGTCGAGAGTCGCGAGGTAACCAGGCTCCGATCAGGGTTGGACAAGCTAGGTTTCGACTTGCGCGGATCCCCGATGGCGCTGAGTGCGGTTAAATTCGCCTGACGCCGTTGCTCACGTTCATAGTTTTCATTGGCCAACTGCCGAGCAATATCTCGCAGGCGTTGCTGTTCCGGATGCTCATTCCGCAGACGTGACTGTAAACACAGAAACAAGAGAGTGAGCATGAGGTGCAATAGATCATGCAGAAGATCGCCAGAAGAGAACTGGAGAACTAGCGATCTATCGGAATGAGCGTAAGATGCTATAATTCATGGTGTTGGTGAAAGGCGTTCCTCAACTTCTACCAACATCCTCCGCCAGAGTGGGCCGGTTAATGAATCACCCTGAAATTTCCGTACATCGCAAAGACGTAAGTTTTACAAAGTCTGTCTTGTGTGAAGTAGTCGCGCTCGAAATCCTTATTCTTTCTCAATAGCATCACAAACGTGCGCAGGCAGAATTACAGACTTTTATTTTGCAGACGACTGTTTTGTATTAAAAAAACGATTTTCAGAACTTTTGAACGAAACCGAGACTGTTTATTCCGCGAGGAATTGCAAGAAAACCACTATGTCTGATCCAAAAGCGCATTTTAAAGTGATTCGTGGATTATAGACGCTCTTGGAGCCTGCTTAAGACAAATGCAAAAATATAAAAACTTTGACACATCTCTTTGGTCGCCCAGTCCGTCTTAACACTGTTGGGGGAAATGTGCTACGTTATGTGGTGCAATTATGTGTCTCACAAGTTTGCTGCAAATGCTGACGTGCACAATTTCTCTCCAAACAACTAATTCTTGCACATTCTTTAACGACGGCATCAGAACTTCAGGGGTACTAGGTTTTCCCTGAAAGAACCCTTCTCTTGGCACGCTTCAGGCAACAAAAAATAAAGAATCCATGTGGCTTGCATCTACTGTGGTTGTCATCTCACGGTTGTCAATTTCCTTTCCATCCATGAATTGCTCTCGTTGTCATTCGGACAGGCAGCAAGTTCCACGACAACGTTGACTGCTGCACTTCCATTCTATACGGAACAATGTCCGGCCACATTCGTGTCCGATTTGAGTCCTCTTCGATTCCCGTCAGCGAGTCCGTGGGCTTAGCTGTATACAGACGGCTTTGTAGGCGACAGGAATAGTCACGTAACTGTCGACGAGAGCTCGCCAAATGTTTTTCTCGCCACATGGCCATTCTTTATGGCTAGAATTTCAGCGTCCCGGAAAGCGAGCGCGACTTGAAACTGAGAAGTGTTCCGCCACCAGAGGCAGTGGGCCGGGAGTATGTTCTGACAAATCTTTATTCACCAAAAAGTGTCTGCAACGTGGTTAACTTCATAGAGGCTATACACTGAATCCAACAGAAAGCGTTTGTCGTTTCACCTCGTCGCAGGGGGGACTTAGGCCTCATTATCAGGCGTCGGATTGTTGTCTGCGGATTACAAGAAGTCATACTTCGTACTCGAAAAAAGAGTACTTATCGGTTCTAAAAAGTTTCCATTTATGAGATTTCTTAAGACCGCAACGTCCCTTCATACAACATCGTACTTGTCCATTTATTGATGCTGGGCATGAAGTGCACAAAATATTCCGCCTCCATGGCAAATTTTTATGAACTCTACACGGTATTTTCCCAAAGGCGTGGAGGAATATATAATTTTCTCTACGCAGAAAGTATACACCTTGCAGAATGAAATCGTTAAACGGTAGTGCAACGCATGATCAAATTCGGGAATTTGGGAACTTCTTCCAAACCTAAATATACCCCTTCTTCAAGTATAAAATTTGAAGATGATGTGATTTGCTATCAAATAAGAAGAAAGCATATTTTGTGTATTTTTTACAAAATATATCTCAATCTATAAGGCCATCAAAAATCAGAGTGGAAAATCCGTATTACTTAAGTAGCCATTTCTTACCAAGTGATTAGCCATTTCTTACCGAGTACGTTTTTCAAAGGAGGTCGCAAAGTGCATTTAAAAACCAAAATTTTGGCAAGTCCGAAGTATCGTGAGATTATGCCGCATGATAATCATTATTATAACCCCATCGAAGCAATCCTTCCTGATCGAAGACACATTTCGAAATCTAGGCTAACATTTCATGTGATCGGTCATCCACTGTATCCGATAAAATGAAATGATTCAAACTGACGGTGCCCTTCCAACAGGTATTTGCATAAATAACGGTCGTGGCTAGTAGCAGTACATTTACCACGAATCATTGAACTGTGGAGCCCTTTTAGCCAGAAAAGGTGTCCTTGGGTGGGATCGGGCTTCCATGCCAAGTTCTTGAAATGTTGGACGTTCTCAAGACCAAGAGCCGGGATTTCTGACCCTAATGCACCAAGCGGGAAGATGCTGGTCTGAGTGCACAATGTTGCCCGGCGCGGTGTCCACTCCGTTAGTGGTGCCTCGACGATGAATATAAAGGCGTCAAACAACGCCAACGGTAGGCATGAACACATGTTGACAGTACCGATACATAGGAAGGGACCCGAAGTTAACAGCGTCGCGGTCAGGAATTTCAGTTTCGCTTTTCAGCGTTGTTTCTGAGCCCCTTTCCCTCAGGTGACATCGAAGACTGCGGCCCTAGTTTTCACGGCAAAATATTCCGGTCGGCCGTATGTGAGTTGTCCAGGACTCCTGGTTAATTACCCGGTTGTTCAAATAAATTTTTCAGTGCATCCTTGCGACGTTGTTTCCGTCCACCTTGTCTGTTGGCGCCCGCAGTGACATCCTCATATATTTGTCGTGTTCAGCACGCAGTCCTCAGCGAACCGAGGGTCCAGTATCTGCTCTCAGAAGAGCTGCTCAGGAGCGTGTAGCCTTGGAATGGCGGAGCTTGCTGCCAGGCGGGTAGTTAATGTCAATGGCAGGGCTTCAATTTCATCTGTCGCAATAGCATTTTTATGAGTATACGGCGAGTAAGAAACCTGACGTCAATCCATTCGTAGCGGCAGGTATATTCGAGGTCAATTCGCCATAAATAATGTGGACCCACAAAGATCCTGTCAGCGAATCCATGGTGTTTTCAGCATCCATTTTCAGAAAGAATGCGGGAGAAGGGTTTAGCTGAGAGTGGAAGTAAGGAGATAAGTCGGAAATTGTGACAGGCTTCTCGATTTCATTTACTCTATAGAAGCGCATGACGCCGACCCACTTGAAGTTCTCATACCTCCTGAAGTAGGTGTTTTTTTCTCCAGAAATTGTAGCCGCCGTATTCGTAGACTGACGGGAACTCGGTTATGGGCCGGGTCTACCCATCTATGTTACTGACGACCATACTCGTCTTCCGCCAGGGGAGGTGAGGTCAGTGTTAGTTTTGTTCGAGGATATCGGTTGATCATCTGAGCAGACATGAAGTGGACACCATGAAGACAGTCAGTCCAGAAGAACGACATCTTTTACTCTGCGATGGCAGACTCGATTCAACTGAGCTAAAAAAACTGCGACATTATGACGGATCGGATGCCTTAACAACTGCGAAGCTTTTTACTTTGCCGCCGTCAGGTTATTCCCAAAGAGCACCTGGAAAATGCTCACAGGATCCATAGAAATGATTACTGCCTAGCAGCAACCCTTGAATCTCCTCGATGTTCTTGTCGCAGCAGTACTGCAGTCGGTTATTGGACCCCAGAACAGTCGTGGCAGTTGTATTATAACGTCTAAGTAATGAGTGTACTCAGTGCGCTACAATCACCCAGCCAAGCCCAGAGTAGTCGGACAACGCCGACACCCCGCATCGTTATCGGGAGTGGCAGTATCGCTGGCGCGGACGGGGTGCGTGCTGACGGTGTTGCGCCGTGACCGAGAGTGATGTCGACTGCTTTTACGGGTTTGCGGAGCAGATCAAAATGTCTGTGTCCAAGTAGTGCGTCCTGCTGCATCCTCCCCCACTGCCTTCACTGTCTCCGAGCATCCACTCACCCCATGGGCCTACCAGGCCATATGCGTGTCCACGAGAGCGGAATTCGCTGGAGACTCGACACATCTAACATACCCTGCACACTCAGCATGCCTGGCCAAATCCCCACCCTATCGTCCAGAGTACCGACCACCTGCAGCTCCACCACCACCATCACCATTGAAACCAACTTTGACACTCCCGACCAATCCTGCCCACATTGTCCCCATGCACTGATCTCACGCATCGGCCTAGCTGGTCACTTGAAAATCTATTGCACAAGGACTGGTGAACCAGTGCCTGGAGCACCAATCCACACTCAACTGCCCTCACAGCCCCCGCACGTTCAGCCACCGCATGGGTCTGCTAGGTCACGTACACATTCACGAAAACCTGTGGTAAACAACCGCCAACTGCACCACACCACACCTCCCCTCACGAGCACCTGCGTCACACAACACCACCTAACGCAAGCACTCGATCGCCACCTTCCACGCACGTGGGAAGTTTGCCTCTCGGCTCCTTCTCCATGCGGCTACTCTGCCGCACGTGTGATCCCAGTCTGAGACTATAGCGATGCGTCAAGCATTGTGGCCTAGAAGACTGTCGACTGACGCCTTAACTCAGTCCACGCGGTCTTCCCAGTTGTGAGCAGTTGTGGGGAGAGCCGGGCTGTAACGGCTTCTTCTTAACGTAACCTCTGGCACTCTCACGCATGTGAGGAGCGCGTGTGTGCTTTATGAGTTGAGACTCTCGGTCGATGACTGACTAGTTACCTGGCCCTTGATGGGTGACGGCCCGGGCTAAGCGCAGGGTTGCGTATCACCCTTCTCGGCTTTAAGGTTTGTGAGCGTCTGCCATGCCATGATCAGTAAACTATAGCCCTCACGGCCTGGTAAGTGCTAGCAGTTCTCTGAAATCTGGTTCCACGCCGGTAGATGCGCTTACGCCCCCCACTGGGTATACAGATCATATGCATGGTTGCCAAGTCATCCTCCTCCTTCTGACCCGTTAAAGTGCTGTTGTTGTTGGTTAAAATCCCGGTCAAGTGTTTGTTGCGGGATAGAGAGTGTGGTGGTACGCCTGGGTATGAGTCCGGTCGTGCCAGCCGCCTGAGCCACCCCTCACCTCCGGTCTTCTTAACTGTGTCTCGACACCGTGCCCAGGTAGGGCGGAGGAGATAGTGTGGTAGATGCTGCGCAAGTCTACACTCACTGTAGACTAATTTGCGCGCAAGTCACCGTGCATATTCTCACCTTGCTGTGGAGTGCACGGTGGACATCGTCGGTTGCGACGGTCGAACTGTCGTGCCTTAGCCGATGGGTGGCGTGTTCAAGTGTGGGGGGACGATCGTGACTGTCTGAGTTTGCGCGTGTGCGCATGTTGCGGTCCGTCAGACTGTAAGGTCAGCGTGTCTGAAAACTCTCACTGTAGAGCTGAACGCCCTTGACGCAGCGAGGCCCTGAACAAAGACTCCAGCCACCGTAAAAATTGCTGCCTGACACAGCACAGACCGTGTCACGTGCATGTTCTAGATGTTCTCAATTCCACTTTTCCCGATATGTGCTTGTTCCACCTAGCTGTTGATCCCGTAGGTCAGTCCCTTTTCTGGGTCCGCTGTTGTCCAATAGTGTTGTGTGCAGTTCATTCGTTGTTTCGCTTACTCGCGGTCGCACCCGCGGCTTTATTTAAGAGGTCAGGAAAAGACCATAAGCTCAACACTGGGTACTGCACGTCTTTGTCACCAATAATCTCTGTGGCCTTTTCACATATCAGGCATGGAGCCCAGAAAATGCATCCTAGTTGTCGTCTTGCGATTAAGGAAGCGAACAACAGTGTTGCGATTCACTCGGTTCTTCCACAGAACAAACTCGTTGCTGTTTCTGTTGTCGACACCATGACGACCGAGAAATCCTTCCATGACAAAGACATAGACCTCAGGTGAATTTTATTTGCCAAGAACATAATCAAGAGGCAGCACAGATTTTCGTACAAGTTGTCTTTTATACTGTACCCACTTGCCACTGGAAGAGTAGGCGCTGGCGACGTCATACTTCTCATTGACTGGGATACTCGCTGTGGCGGCGGTCGATGATTCAGTTGTGAACAGACAACTTGCTGACAGTGTAGTTCGTGGTGAGAGGAGTTTTTGCGTCGTGTTGTGCTTTCCTGCGGCGAATGTCCGAAAAGAGGACGAATCCCGTACTCGTTTTAGTGAATTGCCATTGCTCCGAGAAGCAAGCTTGGTGGGAGACGATGATGTTTATCTTGTACGGAGCGAGTAGGTTGCGACCACAGCTACCAACCGTTGTAATCGATCAGCCAATTGCTCATTTAAGGGGTGGGTCTTCTGGACAATCGGAGAGTGGGGTCACTTTGGTGGGATAGACCTTCGGACGTGCATTAATGCTACATGTAGTTTCGCCGTGGATGAGTGCTGGCAGCCACAGCAGATTGAATGAGTGGGATGGGCAAGTTTTCGCGTATTTCCAGTCCCGAGAGGAGGGAGAAATACGCCGCGTGGTTCGCGTGTGGACGTATGAACAGCCGATTTGGCCGCACAACTTCAAAACCCTTTGACAGTTCGGAGAAATTGAATTAGCGAAATTAGTCGCTGCGCCCAAGCTCGTATCCGACCGTATTAACTTCTTGCCATTGGAACATGACGGATGTGGGAAGGGAGAGGGAGGTGGATGCCTCACAAGTCTGCGCCAGTACATACCAATTTACACGCAGGTCACCACTGCGATCTCAATACAGGAGGGTTTCTTATTGCTTTCGGTGGACAAACTGTCGTGGGCCAATAAAGGGCGATGGCCACGCCGAGCTGGTTGTTAAGGCCGATGCAAGAAAGAAGGCGAGTAGTCAGAAATAATGCGAAACGAATATAAATTCTTGTTGCGACATTAGAACGGTATCATATTTTTGCCAGCTACATGTAGAAGTCACAACTAAGCACTGACTAGAGACCTCGTCAACCAGGACATACAGCCAAAAGTTGCAGCAATCCCGCGATTTTCAAGCACTGCATATTCTTCAACACCTAAAACGTTCTCTTGAACAAGACAAAAGTTTCTGAGGGGGCAGAATCTAACAGTCACCAAAGTTCCTGAACTCTTATTAAAAGTACAGTGAACTTCGGGTATAAAGCATCTGATGGAGACTGCCTACACTGAGGACCCAAAGTCGGTGTGCTAGTAATCAGAGGTTGCAGAAAAACAGACGTGCAAGCACTTGGATTAAATTACTGAACTGGCGCTGATCTGATCGCAAGGAAGAGCCAACGAGCCGTCCCCCTCAGCCACTTAGCCAGACCCACTCACATGTCTGATCACCATTTCAGGACGCGATCCAATATTAGATCGATTTAGCGCGGATTCAATCCTCAGTCTATTTTTACCATAAACAATCAAACGTACTTTGAAGCGATGACCGCGGGCTAACAGGCACGGCATGTGGAGGTTGTCAACTTATGGGGTAACCCGATCCTTCTCAGGACTGAGGGTCGGGTTACGATGGTTCCTGCTTAATGTGCCCGCTAGGGCACTCATTCACTCGAGACCTGGGACATTCTGAAGAAAGCCTAGTACGTGTAAAGTGTAGTGTAGCAGTTGTAGACGGGCTGTTCAGTTTTATCAATCATTGCGTCCCCGCCAATCTTCGGTTGCTTTCACTTTATCTTGTCATTGGAACGGGGTGGGTGTGGCAATGACGGGCGAGGTAAATCCGACACAGGTCTGCTTCGCCAACCACCTATCCGCGAGCAATTCACCTCTGCGCCCTAGAGACACTGGGGAATACGCCGTTTGTGACGATCGAACTGTCCTAACCGAAAGGGCGAAGGTAAAGTACGTGGCCTATTTTCTAAAAATATCAGCTGCGAGAAAAAGGATAATCCTGCACGCAATTCTGATAATTCTAGGAAACGAGGATGAGCGGTGTATCCAACTCTGGATTCTTTATGTGTAGAGGACATGTAGACATTTTGAGAAATAAACATCCCTAAAGCCAAACACCCAAAGCGGACTTGATAACAGGACCAAAAAGACTGAGATCGTTGTCTGGGAGATAGTGATAACAATGCGATGGACGCACAAACAATAATCAGAAAGTTATTACTGCCTAAAAGGTACGTTCCATGTGCCGTTGAGAATGCCTAAGATGGTTAAAATCACGAGGGCGGAAAAGTCGTGTGTCAAAAGAACTCCTGGTTATTCAATTCGGGAGTTTATGCGAGTATTTTTTCAATTTCGAAAAGCAATATGCGCATTTGCATTTAACTCCAAAGTTTAATTTCATAATCGAAGAAGTCGGCGACGTCAGCCACTAAGTCATAAGTTGTGGGGGGTCGAGGTTCACCACCCAGTATTTGCTATGCCTTCTAACCACTATGGCTAGTGCTAGTTCAGTTCGTTCCAAAGTTGGACATAATAAGATGGTGAGGCCTAGCAATCATTTCCCGATCGATTTTTCGGCCTCAAATGCGGGCAGGTTCACTCACCATTAATGCCCACTAATACGCCTCAACCATCCATATTCATTTGCAAGTTGAGCACCAGTAAAGCGACGGCACCAATTTGGACAGGGGTCAGAGATGTCATGTCGCGCATCGGCCCCCCTCCGGTTGACGGATCGTGTGACTGGGCTAGTTCAGGCAGCGACCTTGCACTGCATCTTTAAAAAAGTCTACTGGCTATAAATTTTCCCTTTCTACAGACGGTCCTTTAGCCGAAGCCGCAATATTGTCTGGAGGTATAAATTGTCCGATACCTCAATCTACCCCCGACAGCAATGCAGGGAAACTTGGCAATCGCGCAACAGTGCTTAACGCATTCCAATACCTTTATTTAACCGAAAGTAGCGGCATGAACACGGGCACAAGCAGATACAACATAACATGGCGCGCGTACATTCTACATCACATTTAGTCCTCCCTTGTCACTAGAAAATTGATAAGACGGCGGCAAACAAAAAGTGGATCGACTTCAATTGGTCACAAACTGTGCGAAAGGACACGCTTCTTGCAGTTTAAGGCCATTGTGCAATACTTTGGTCGTGACGGCATTCAATTTCATGAGGAATTTGCATATCCATAGACGGCTTGGGCCCGCTGGTATCAACAGGGTCAGACACAATATCGGGTCGGAGGTATGTATTACCCAGCTCCTGAATCCGACTGACGCCGTCCTTTGGGTTATGACCCAGTGGGATGATAACGTCGGTGCCCAAATGAAATTGTACTTGCAGTTTACCATTTGCCGGATAAATTCCACGTACGATAACAAAACAGAACCTGGGAGACTGCCTTCCATCAGAAACCTACGAGTACCGTTCGACACAGTTGTTATTGAGCCGATTCCCGGGAGGAGAATGCATTGTGTAAGAATTACCGCTACATAAGACTCTGTGGATAGCCTAAGCCTTCGCAGTCGTTCTAAATCGCCTCCGCTTCTGCCGCAAGCGCTGACAAAAAAAATCATCGTAGACTTCGACCGAGGCGGAAGTGCTTAGGCGAGAACATCCCGCTCCGCAACTGTTATCAGCAACTCACCCAAGTCTGCTCCGTGAGAGGCGTTGCACCAGTTGACCCTGTACACCGGGACTTCTTGTGGTCGAACACGTTGTATGATGGCCTACCGCCGAAACTGTTTCGAACGATTCAAATCTGGTATCACTGAACTAAGATCAAACACCACGTGAGTGATGAAGGTTGACTTTTTGATATCAAATCCGGCTTATGTCAAGGTGATGGTATCCACCAACACCAGGCTTTTTAGCACGCGTTGGCGGGCCATCCCGGAGTGGTGGTGGGTGGCCGCCTGCATATACAGGTCTGGACTGCTCCTACGACTTTGCAAAGGCTGCCGAATTGGATCTGGAAGAAACTTGAAAACGACGATCATTTCGGGACTGGAGCCGTCTACCCTAACACAGTAAAACATGATGTTCTTGAACTATTGGACAGTTGCTACCATGAGCTGAGCTTCCAGCTAAATGGGCAAGATGCTTAAAAAGTAGACTGCCAGGTCATGAAACATAAGCAGCCCTCCGGCCTCAACGGTGAATCCGGAATTAGCGTGAGACAAGCCAGAAGACCAGAATGTGGGATACGTTTCTGTTCTTGAGGGTTTGGGCGTTGCACAAGCACCCTGTCGAAATTCCCCGGTCTCTAAAGAGTGTTCCGATCAAATGAGTCGAGTACTGCACAGAAATCAGGGAGGCCAGCAGTTGTGTCCCATACAAAACCATTTGGTTGCTCTAGGGTGCACAACACTGAAAATGGCCAGTCGAAAAAAACTCCACCAAAGATGAAAACGGCATGCTCTAGTGAGCATAGCACTGAAGTACTTATTCAACACAGCCTCTGTCAAAGATGAAAACGGCAATGTTTTTTGTTCATGCATTCTTGAAAGTGCAGACGGATTTTGGGCCGATGGATCTTGACGACCGAAATATCTATCGTACTTTCTGACTCTGCTTTAAGGGCATCCAACGAAGCTGCAAATGGGTGTCCAACCCTTCATCCTTGAATTCATCTACCGTCCAAAGTTCTTATACGTGCAGTTGCCATCTATCTTTTCGGTTTACCATACTCACTCCCGCCAGTGTGTAGAAGGCGAAGCAAGAGAACTTAGTGCCACGTAGTATTGACGAGGTTTTACAGTCTTCTAGACGTACGACTTAGGTGAACCGCATTGTCCAATCAGGGGATCAGTAAAGTAACACACCAATATGCTTAGTAATCTTTGTGAAAACAAGTTTTATGATAGGCCTCATTGCTGCGGACAATATCGAAGGCCACAGCTGAAGACGCTGGCAGTGCAAGCAGTTTTTCGGGCTTAACATTTTGCGCGGGCAGCCGTAACTCAGTCGTCTAGTTTGAAAACTGAGTTAGATCGTACGGCATTAAAATGTTTCGAGAAGCGAAAAGTAGCATGGGCCGTTAAAATGGAATGCTTGCTCTACGCTGAACAATGCAAGTGAAAAGATCTGAAGGACTTTGCACCCTTCTCAAATAAGTCTTCCATGGTCTTGCTGACCGGTACTTGAGATCCGTCTGATCGTCGCGCTCGCGCAGTATTTCAAACCAGACTAGTAAACCGTAACGTTTTAGCTCATACTGTCATATTCACTAAACGCAAATCCCGAAAATGAAAGCAGGTCATTCACTTCCAAGGGTGGAAATGTTAAGAATATATGCCATGCGTGGAGTATCTCAGTAAATATTAATTGGAGTTCTGAAATACAAACAGTCAAAAAGGACTACGTAAGTGGGGTTGCAGCCCTGACTACCATGCTGCAGATATTCCGGTCATATCAGGATGCAGGCATTTTAATGCGTGCCTTTCCAGTAGTCTGCAAAAGTACACTCGTTACAAAATTATAACTGGACCAATGTGATCCTCTGCCATTACCTTTCGATGCACTCGCAAATCCAAACATATTTTATAGAAAGCATAAAATAGCCTTGTACTATTTTTGTAGCAAATCATGTCTTAAATTATTTTTTTCTTAAAGAGAGGGTATCTTCCGGTTTCCAAGAAGTATTTCAATACTCGTGGTTTGGAACCACACCTGCCATTTGAAAACAAACATTCTTCTATGCCATTAGGAAGGTACAAAGAGGACTCGGAAAATTTTGTAATGAGGATGAGCCACATAGCAAGCTTCATAAGCTGCACTAATGAGTGGACAGTGGTCTTAAAAAATCTCATGACCGCAAAATTCAGCTTTTCTAGTAGATGGTTTTAATGAGAGGTCATTTACCATAAAATGTGCATAAGGAGTGACTTTACGTATATGCTTTTTAAAACGTATTTTTGAATTTAGGAGGGAACAGAATGTCAATGGAAGAATTGTATACAACATAAGTGGTCAATCTGTAGCATGATTTTTACAGGTCAGAAGGGCACGCAACCTTGCCTGAGTGAAATATGTTTAGGTTATGCTGCATGATAATTAACACTACGACCGAACCTGAGTAATCCTTCCTAACCGAGACATTGCTTCAGTTTCAGTTTGCGGTTCGTGCGACATCACCCACTACACATTACGCATGCCACCAATATTCAAAGCAGCCTGCATGCGCAAAAAAGGCTGTATCAAACAAAAAGAAAACAAGAGACTTTATTAAGCAATTACTCACTTTTGCCGCCTTAAATATCATCTCCCTTTCAAGTTCGTTTTTTCGGTTTTTGTCGTGTTCGTCAAGTTTTACAAGGAAGGCCATCTGATCCCGCGCAAAGTCAGTCTGCGTGAGATGTGGGTCGTTGGAGAGGCGAAGGGCTTTGTGGCCCATGACAATAGAAAGTCGGGTAAGGATTGAGCGCAGAAAATTTTCTAGTCCATGAGCTATACAGGTGTAGGCCTCGTCAGTAATCGTAACCTGTGAGTTGCTCAGGCGCTGGGCTAGATGCGATTTGAGCTGAGATACGGGAAAAAAGGGTTGGTTGAGAGGGGACTGCAGTGCTGCCGCGGCCACGGTGGATGGGGTGGGAGTGGTGGATGACGAGGACTGAGGAATGAGGCTAGGTCGAGTAACACCACCAAAGACAGTTGCTCTGGCAAAGGCCGGTTGTTGAGTTGAGGCGGTAGAGGTTATGGAGACCGGCCGCATCCGAATTGCCTGCACCATGGGTGTTGTTGTAGCAACGACAGTGGACGTGGCATGTGGACTAGGAACAACGGGAAAGGGGGCATTCGGAACAATCACAGTTGGGGCAATCGGCCTCAGTTGAGGTCGATAAGGAGCTATGGATGGAGGCGTTCGTGTGGAATAACTGGACGGGAGAATTGGTCTGATTACAGGATGAAAGATATTTGATGTGTGAATTAAAGGCTGGCCAACAGCAGTGGTAGGGAGGGTTGATGCAGAGGATGTAAAAATCGGGGTTTCGCCTGCCCGGCTGACACAGATTGCTGCGGTCGAATACGTCGTGGAGGTAGTTGGTGCGTTTGGCTGAAGAACCACCGACGTGGCAGTACTTGGGTTGACCTGAGGCGTTACAGAAATTGGCATGGCGGGTGTAGGCAGGCGCTGTTGCTGCTGTTGGGGAGAGGTAAAGGTAGTTAGGGCCTGCCGAGGAAGAATAGTGGACGGGGCGGACTCTATAGTAGAAACGTTAGTAAAGCTTTGCCGAACCGGCAGTGAAGCGTGCGAGATCATCACAGGTGTACTAACGGAATTTGGCAAGCTCGACACTGTAGATACACCGGCAATAATGGGCTGCGGTATCGGCGACGGGTGCTGTTGCGACTGGGAGGCCTCCACATCCAAAGAGGGAGGCCGGATGTTTGGTAATGTACACACACCACTGTACAGTTCCCGACGCAGGAGTGCGATGTTATCCTTGATAAAAGGACCAATGTTCATGGGTTCCGCATCACGGTTCAGACTCGCACTGAGCTGAGTGCAAAAGGTGTCGCAGTCAATTTCACTGTCCTAAAACGTTGCCAAGAGAAAGAGTCATTTCCAGCCAATCTGTACACGCAATCGCAATACGGACAAATGCTTAGTCGTGACTGACGGATAGTTCCCTAAAAACTGTAACCAAGGTTTAGCCGGCAGCCCCTTATGAAGAGGTAAGTTTACACTAAACAGAGTTAGTGGGGAAATTGGCAGAAACAAGATTTGTTGTGACGCTCCCAGAGCTGACATCACAATAACCGACTGCCAAAAACACGGTGGACATTATGGAAACAAAGGGAACGTCGGAAGGCCAAAATAAACAAAATATGCATGCCTCTTCAATTCCGTCACTCTGTGAGACCTCGAACCACAGAGAACCACGCATGGAACCAAAAAATGCCTGCATCGAGCAGTGTTACCTCGCGTGGACCTGGGGAATTTATCAAGATACGGCGGACTCTGATCAAGCAGTCAACATTGTAGACGCATTATAAGGATTAGGTTGTTGGTCTGATTGTCCAAGTAGAACGGAGAATCGTAAGCTATGGCGTTCCTCATTATCTGGGCCCTTTATCTTTTGTGTCCCTTGTTGGGATATCTCCTGACATCTGTCGGACAATACCTATTCTCCTGCCCTTGACTGTAAACTTCGGAAACCAGCTTGCGACGACTGGAGACGTAATGGTTCGAGCTGTTGTCTTGCAGCTTTCATCTAGACAACAACTACTAGTGTGTACCTAAATGAAATTATTAGAACTTTTTTAGATTCACGTAGTTAGCTTCTCGTTTGGGCGAGTAGAGCGAGTTGGGAACAATTTATGAATATACGCCAAAACGACTTTTCTAGTTTCATCTGTCTTTTCCGGGTCTGCTGTCGTACAAACCGCCTTTCCTAACAGGTTGTCCGGTTGAATTTTGAACCACAGCCATCACCGGCGTCCCGTTGGCGTGCTCACTTACGCCGGTGTGCTGCCACAGCAGCTACAGGCGTATGCAGACCACAACTGAATTTTCAATCAGCAGTCTCCTCGCCTAGAATTCGAAGTATCCTTTCAATCTCGTCTCCTTGGTTTTTGATGTAGAGCAATCATCAGCCCAAATACGCGAAGTAGATTTGAGGTGGAACGCGTCGTCTGGTTTTGCTCTTAAACAGTTAGCTCGAAAAAGCGGCTAATCCTGTTGGACGGTGGTAAATTAACTGGGAGACCACCCGAATAAGTTTACTGCTGCGTAATGATAGCTTTTTGTGATTGAGGGCTGAGAAACACTAGTTGTATGTCGACATTTCCACTTCATTTTTATTATCCGCAAACACGCCGCAGAACGGATGAGGGGGTAAATAACTCACATGAACTGGAAGTGACCAGGCACTTAGGAAAGAGGTTCGTAGAAATAACGCACGATAGGTGCGTTGGTTTTAGATATAATGTCGGGTTGGCGTTCTAGCCAATGGGAAGACGATAATGGTCTTCCCAGCTGAACGGCCAAGTCACCTATCGGTGCTCAAAGGCACGGTGGACGAGGTGGCATATCTATTTCGCCGCCTGGCCAACAGGAAGCACCCGAAGGGCAGGACAAAATCCAGACATCTTCAACACACGGTTTAACTGGCAAGCAAAGTCAATCATACTACGACCAACGCAAATTATAACGCACTAAAAAAGACAGTAGTGACAAAGCATCTAGATTTCTCATAGTATTCGGCAGAGTCCTCTTTCGGAGGCCATTAGTGATACAATTTCGAATTTCGCGAGTTTACCAGCAAATAACTTAAATACAAACCTCTGTGTAAAGCATGGTCTTCCGTTGGACGTCTTACCATTGAACTAATTCAAAACAGATTTACGTTTACCACAGAAACCGCCTAAACTGTCGTCATTGTGCCGTTACAAACGTTAGTCTAAACGGCAAATGTAGTATCCTCAGGAAGGGCTCACACAAAATGCACAGCTGACCCTTTATTGAAATACTGTAGGTTCGTGCATATGCGAACAAAACAGCAACAACAGTTCGGATTCGGTTACTTAGTGCTGTCTGATCCGACAATGCGGAAAATACGATCCAAACTTAGCAATTGCCGGGATGCTTATTTTGTTCCAAAAAATATGTATAAAAAAGCACATTCCAGCGACCGCCTCTTCAGACATTGATTTAGCCTTCGTAGTGCAGTAAACCATAGGTCGTTCCCGTTTACATGAAAGGCTACAATTTCCAAAAGGATACAGCCAAGAGCTGCAATGATAACGCTGTCAAGCAACCCATAGAGAAATATGAAATGGCATCAGGCTGCTCGAAATTGCAGAAATGGGAAAAACCTCTAATTCTGGTATAAAAGGATGATTTCAGTCACCTGCACAGCATTGCATATATTCAATTAATGGACAAAGTAAGATGTGTTATCGCTAGATTACGACGCCCCTGAGACTATTTTGTTCGTTTTACAACATAAGTACTAAGATCATGTATTGACGACGACTTCTTGCCCAACAATGCCAATAAGTCACAGTCAGACAGAGCCAGAAACACCCACTACAAAAGTCCTACGTGTATCCCCAAAAGTAACAGAATCTGATAAGTATGATATCGTAGACAGCAAAGGGCAAACTACCATCGTCACTTGTCCATACTATCCCCACCCATAAACGCATCTCATGTGTCTACGCGGCCGTACGTACATAGACGACTACATTCGGTAAAAAAAGCATCTGTTCCACATTCAACAATTACGCGATGAAGTTCACCGAGGTGGATAATGGCGGGGAACGGGCAGTATGGGTAGATGTTTGCATGTAGCACGTGTTACACCAAGACTTCCTGCCACGCCAGCCTGACTGAGACTTGAGAGTGGCACAGAATATGAAAGGGAAGGGAAAGAGAGTAAAGGTCCATTGGTTCCGGATTCAGTGCCTCGTTTTCTCACTTTAAGCTGCCAAGAACTAGAAGTTGTGGCCTGGGAGGCTGTCAACTGATAGAATAATCCGGTCCTCTTCCGTGTCGGCGGCAAGGCCACAATGGCTCTCTCCTCTTCAGCCTTACAGGAAACCGTCCTCATTAATTTATCCAAGACCTCATCTGTGTTTTAGTTCGCATGCGTGTGGGGAGCAACCGGTGTGCAGCATGTGTAGATGTGGTTTCAACCTAGTTCGGTATCACGTTCACACTCGTCCCCAGTCGTCTTGACTTTGTATTGCCACGTAAAACAACAAGCGTGTGATGAAATAGTGGGGTGGGTGCCTCGAAAGCCTCCCTTACCACAACAGACTTTGCAAGAAAGTCATCACAGTACCCACGAGACAGAGATGGTTCTTACTAGTTTAAAAAAGCTAACTGATCTAGTTTTACAGTCCTCTAGGATGTGGATTAACTTTAGGTGCTTTTGTAGGGACAGATAACTCCACTGATGCGGTTTGTACTAGCTAGCAACGGAAGTTGACTTTACAAAGAGTAGGTCTGGCCGGTCTGCGGCAATGTCAGGAAGCGCTGAGGACGAAACGTACTCATGAATATCGGCAGAATCCACGGGTCTTATATACCTTAAACATTAAGATAATTAAATCTATAAATTCACTGTTGATGGGACTATTACTGGCCACCGTCAAGATTTAGACCATAAATTTAGTAATGTACCTTTAGGAACGATTCGTATTTTAGGGGGCCGGGAAAATGCATGCTTGTTTTACTTGGTTTTAAGTACAGTGGACATAGAGTACTACCTTATCGTTTATATGCACCTAGTTCTAAGTCGACTAGCGTGATAGAACTTCATGTACTATTTTATATTCAATGTCGTGCAGAAACCCGACAAAATTATTTTACCTAGTAGTCGAATTAAACCCAGGACACCCGAAGAGGCGGCAAAACCAGTTACGGATGGCAAATTTTCAGGGCTTCACCCTAGAAAAAGTACTCAGCCAGCATATTGTATGCCTCCCAAGAGATTACCCAGCCGGCCTTCATCTGTAAATCTTTGCTAAGGAAACCTGTGGGGGCAATGCTAGCAACAGGAAGTTTCGGGAATCAAATTTCGTCAGCAAGAGGGATTAGAGGAGTGAATGTTTAAAACTCCACTCACTGAAGAACGGGTGCTGGTGCCTACAAGATTAAGTCACCTTTAGGTCAGATTCATTTGAAAACAACTTAGTGTACGATCCTGTTTTAAACCGCGATTGTGTGTACACTATCATAGGACATAGGGCAGGTTAGTTGTTTGAGTTAACATAAGAAACTACTACACCTACGCAAACAAATGAAACAGAGACCCAAAGGTCTGCATACAAATGAAACGTACAAACTGCTTCAAAGTATTTAATTGACCATATTATAATCAGGACCATAAAGATGTAAAACTTACCACTAACTTCTGGATCAAGTTCACAATGGCGCTCTGCGTACCAACGGGCGCACTCTTTCTTGACAGCTCAATGAGTTGGTTCATGAACACGGCAAGTTGCGAGGCACCCGAAGTCGGTGTACTAGACCTCAACGGCGACTGTACCACCGAAAAAGGGCCTGCACAAGGAAATGTCAATCATTGGCAACTGGAACCGCCCACAGCAAGACTTCTGTACGAATATGCAAAATATTTCTGCCGTTTCAAAAAGATAGGGCGAGCGCAATTTGCCAGACTGCGTCACAGACTCATCTTGAAATATCAAAGTCTAGTTTTGTTGGAAATTGGTCTGTCCTCGTGCGAAATGTCTTTGCTTCCTTAACAGACATTATGGTTCAGCTGACGTTGGCAAACAGAAAATTAACAGTAGTGGTTGGCGGAAAAAAACAGAGTATTTTCAGGACGAGATGGCATGTGGCAATACCCTATCAGGTACTGCAGTGTCACCAGAGACAGTGCCAGTGATAAGCCAGAAGAAAAGTTTCCGTAGGATGTGAGGAGGTCAGCCGCAGGTGGCCCTGCACAGGCCAAGTTGACTGATTATTGAGAATTCTGCAAAACCTTCCCAGTGTTCAGAAACGACATGAAAACATTTCGCTTTCAGTACTTTAGAGGGGGTTGAACGATATACCATACGTGGCAGCCAAGGGGCTAGCTAAAAAACCTAGATACGTATTTCGCCGATATTCTGCTGCTGCACGGTACAGCTAATTTGCCCAACTTAGAATTTCCAAAAAAATTTAAAAGCTGCAATTTTGAAACTGGAGTACCTATCAGAAAGCCCACAGGAGAAGCTGGATAACCCACTAATGGGTCGAACCCCTCGAAGCTGTGCCATGCGGCGGCAGAATATCGGCGAAACACGTGTCTGGGCTTTTAGCTATCACCTGTGCTGCCATGTGTGGTATATCGTACAACCACCCTACTCACTGAGAAAACGTAAACCCTGCAGCGATGGGCCGAACACTCTGAAGGCGTCCTCAACCATTCCTCCACCATCTCCGACGCCGACATCGCCCGTCTACTTCAAGTAGAGACCCACACCAACCCCGACCACCGCACTCTCGACACGAAGCCATCAAGGCCGTGCAGCAACTCTCTAGCAGTAAAACGTCCGGAACAGACGCGATCCCCGCTGAGATCTACAAGCACGGTGGCTCCCTACTCATGAATCATCTGACGGCGGTCTTCCAGATGTGGCAACAAGGAGCAGGTCGTCAGGATTTCAAGGACGCCACAGTCGTTCTCCTCTAAAAGCAGAAAGGGGACCGCCAAATCCGCGACAACCACCGAGGCACCTCCCTGCTGAATATCGCCGAAAAGATCTCCGCTCGCACCCTTCTCAACCGTCTCAACAACCGTTTGGAACAGGGCCTCTTGCCGGAAAGCCAGTGCGGCTTCCGCGGTCCACCAACTGCAGGAGAAATGCCAGATGTGGATCCACCTTTGCTCTGCCTTCGTGGATCTGAAGAAGGCCTTCCACCAACCTCATCCCCCCCGAGGCCATCGATGTGGACTCGTTTAACACCTGTCCCCATTGTGACCGCACCTTCGCCTCACACGTCGGCAGGGTCGGTCGCTTCCGAATTCACCCCACTGAGACTGGCGAACCAGTGCCTCGAGCAGCCGCATACACTCGTCCAACCCGCCCCACCTGCCCCCGCAAATCCACTAATCGCATGGGCCTCCTAGGTCACATTCGCATCCACGAGAGTAGAATTCGCCTTAAAACGCCTAGCAAATCCTGTACATCCACCATACCCGGCCCAACCAACACGCCGTCGCCTAGGGCACTCACAACCCGCAACTCCATCATTGCCACCATCACCGAAGCAGACAATAACACCACCGACTTTTCCTGTCCATACTGTCCCCGTACATTCACCTTACCCATCGGCCTGGTCGGTCACTTGCGAATCTATCGTGCAGAGACGGGCGAACCGGTGCCTGGAGTACCAACATGCACCAACCACCGGCCAAACCACAGCACAACGCATCAAAATCATCCATCGTGAGCACCCAATTGCCACCTACGAAAGTGGGAAGTGTGCTTCTCGGCTCCTTCTCCATGCGGCTCCTCTGCTGCATGTGTGATCCGAGTCCGACTGGCTCGAAAGGCTGGCGACTGACGCTCTAACTCAGTCCACGCAGTCTGCCAAGTTATGTGTGTTTGTGTGGGGTGGCGGACTGGCGGGCTAACAGTCAGGCCGAAGCAGCTCCTTCTAAACGTGACCTACGGCACTCTTACGCATATGAGATGTACGCCGCTCAGTCCCCGTTTCGTGAACTCCTGGTGCTTGTGTTTGGGGAACCAGGTCATGCATGTGGCGCGCGCAGACAAGGTCACAAGATACATCAGTCATTGTGCTCATTTCCCGCACTAGGCGGCTGACCAGCTCGGACAGTGTTTGGGGCCGGGGAATGAAAACGGAAAGTGAGCTCGACGACTCAGCGCATTTTCCTCACTATAAACAATCTGACGCGCTTGAAGCTATCATGGTGAGCTAAAAGCCGTGACTTGGAGGATTGCCAACTGACGGGATAACTTGAACCTAGCAGTTGGCCCAGTGTGTGTTCGCGTGGAGCGGCCGACTGGTGGTGCAGAAGTCAGGCTGCAATGAATCTTTCTTAATGCAGCCCTTTTGGCACTTCCGTCTAGAGTGATCCGAGCCGGGTTTGGCGGCACTCCTAGGGGCGACTCTAGTCATGCCAGATACCTACACCCTCTCCCACCTCCTGTCTTCTTGACAATGTCTTGATACCAGGCCCAGGAGGAGGAGGAGAGAGTGCGGTAAATGCTGCGCAAGTATACACTCGCTATAAACTAACTCATGCGCGAGTCGTCGTGCCTGCACTCGTCTAGCTGTGGAGCACACGGCGGACATCATCGGCGACGACGGTCGAACTGTTACATCACAGAACCCATATGTATATTACTGGCAGTTTATGAATATTACGCGGTCATTCTGCTGTGGCTAATGGACTTTGGCCCAAATATTCACATCGAATTATAGTCCGAGTCTACGGGTCTCAAAGAGGTTGATTTACTCCAAGTTGGCAATTAATTTCTCAGGAACTTAAAAAGTCGCAGTCTTGAAAAGGCTGAACTCAGTGACCGTGGAGGCCAGTGTTTATCAACGCATAAAGGTATGGTGAGTTCAGAAATGCGGTTGACGTCCCTAAGAATACATAGGCTGATAGCCGAAACAGAATCCTTACTACCTTAATGTTAAGGACTTGGTTGAATAATAAATGTCCAAATCAAAAATACCCACAATTAAGGTCTTGGCAATCGGTGACGTAAGCGCATCCCGGAAAGTAACAAGCATGCGGCTGCGTATCAACCCCTCCCTTGAATACTTCAGTTCTTTTATCTTCCTTTCGCTAGGTTTCGAGTGGGGTCCGAGACACCGGGTCTGCTACTTTTAAGTTACCACCTGGATTTCACAGCCAATTAGATGCTTGACAAAAGTGAGATGTGATCGGTGCAATTCAACTCTTGGCTAATGATGAAGAAATAAACAACAGAGGTGAATACTATTCCGAAAGCACACGTGAGATAACTGGAGAAAATTGGAAAAATACGACCTACAAAAGACGAATTGTGTTCTGGAATTAATTTTAAAACTAAAAAGCTTCTCGTGATGACCGACAGGCCAGCAAGGTGTGCGATCGAAGAAACTTACGCGCAGCGATGCCTGTCAGACCATTAGCTTGAGGAGTGACGGCTTGCCTGTCAGCCAGACTGCGGACCTGCATCACATTGGGTGGTGGTGTGGGCATGGGGCCAACCGCACCGTTGTGCAAGATATAGAACTGATTTCCCAATGGCGGGCGATTCATCTAAAAGGAATGTTATAATCAAGCGTTTAAATCTAAGACACCCTCTCATGAGTGCATTGACAGCATCACAACTACCTTTCTCGCTGGTAAGTTAGATTTACATCTTATTCAGTCACGGCGCGTTAAGATAACAAGATCGATTATCGAAAACTGACTGCGACAAGCAGTAAACGTGGCCGTACTTGGCTTTGGCACATTTTGACATGAGCAATGGTCGCGGAGGAAAGTTGAGATGCATAGTGTTATTGCAGGAACGATAGGAGCAGGAGTTCTACTGTACATTAACCCGTTCTAAACATGCCACGGGAAAATTATGTGCATATGCGTCTACTGAAAATGACGGCAAGGACAGAGTAATATGAAGAAATTGGGGAGACAAAACCGAATGAGCACTCCGCTATAAAGGATAGCCGCGCATGGCGAATGTACCACGAGTTAACAAAAGTAGTGAGGTACAGTACTTGGCCTCTACCATTGAAACAATCCGTATGGACCTAAGAACCTTTGAAAGTAGAAGAAACGCATTCGTTCGACTGGTGGGACATGCGGTCAAAAGCAAACACAAATGTATAAATTTTCCACGGGGAATTTCGCAAAAGACAGTTGTTATTTTAACTGAATATTCGGACGACAAAACCCCCGCCGCGAGTAAACACGACTTGACAAAAAAGAAACAAGAAAAAAGGGTGCATTTTGGTCGGTCGAAACGCGACGTTTTAGGCAGCAGTGCTAGTTTCGTCGAGTCCTCCAACATCATCAACGCTCTCAACGACCAACTCCCTTCTGTTTCATGGACTTTCACTTGGATTCCCAGCAGTCGACCATACTTCCAGATGACATGCCACAAGAAATACTGCGCCTCATCGAAGCTCAGTAACACGGAACAAAGCATGTGTGGATGGCGTTAGGAATGACTTCATCGGTGTCATTGGCATTTATCAGTCCTGCTTTCTCCAACACGTACAGGCGGACAATTCAAGTAATAGGGTAGGTCGTGTCGCAAGAAGTACACGTGTGGGAAACATTGTTGTGGAGCTCGTGCAGAAATAGAATGTGCAGTGTCCCAGACAGATCCTAAGGCAGTAGATGACTTGAAACTAAAATTACCCGAAGAAAAAGTAGCGCTTGTCTAGTGGTCCAAACCATTTGTTAAACAGTAGGGTAGTGATGAAATCAGCCATTGAACCAATCAGGAGGGCGCAGTCTCCGTCGGACTTAGTCGAAACCTCTGCAGTCATCATAAGACTAAACTGCAGACCAAGTTCCATGCATACTAGCCTCCGTCAACAGAATCTGTCTCACGGATGTGAGGCATGGTCCGCAAGTCCACGAGGCGTATGACTAGAGGAACATTTCGATCTATAGAGACTGCACACTCTCCTCCGAATTCTGCTCTTGGATCGCGTCTCTAAGGAAGACGGGGATAATCCGGACATGCGCTATTCCGAACTGAGGGTGACATCAACCAACTTTATTTCTCGCTTGGTCTCGGCCTTGTTCGACGACAGTGTCGGAAAACGAAGGATAAGGATGGGCGTAGCGAGAGATGACTTCGTGCGCATCTTTAGGCCCGATGTCTTCGGTCTAAGCGGCTTGTGGGCTAAATGGCTCAACGTTACTCGAAAATACGCAGATCGAACGTCCGTGATGTCGAGGACCTAAAACGTGGAACAGGCCTAAGCAGTTACCGCGGATTTCTTGACAAGCGCAAATAGGCTTCCGTACAGTTGTGTGCTGGACACTTCAGTCAGATGCGCACTGTCGTCAACAAGGGAAGTACGTGACCCAGACATTATATTACAGGCGTGCACGCCTACATAAACCTGTCAGTATATATCAAACCCTAAGGCGATGTGCACCAAAGACAGAGTTCTCCATGACACCCGAGTTGAATCAGGCGAAAACTGAACGAGACCGCGGGAGAGGAAAATCCGGGTTCAATTCTTAAAGCAGTGCATAGAGGGTCTAAGGACAATCGTTCTGCAGTAGCACACATTAAGAGTTGGTTTTAGACGTTAAGCGGTAGCCTCGTACATGCGTTCTATTGGTCTTGACATGAGCTACAGATTCGAGCGGCCATCACTATGCCAAAATTTTGAAATGCGCTGGCAGGTAAAAAGGCAAATTCCACTGCAGCTCTCCCAATTTTGCAGTTTTAAAGTGGTCGTCAGAATGGAACTAATTCGGCAACTCAGGCAAAAGCTAAACAACGTGGTTTTCGGTTTGGAAGTTGTTAGCCAAATCAGCAACAAAGATCTAGGTGAAATCTCAAGCGGTATTCAGACGGAAACAAACATGCAGATTTCGCACATGGCGTAGCCGATATGTCAGATATACGGGATACTGTCCCCGTATGTGTGTCGAAACGTGGGACGCTGTGGCTGACGGGATGTTGCGTTGGTCATTAATCACGCGAAGGTACGGTTGGGATAAACTTGATAACAAAAAATAAGACTGCGACTAATGCCGTTATTCCAATCAGACATACGAGGCGGGAAAAGTCATACTAGACTCTAGAAGAACCTAACAGTTGTGGTAGTAGCAATGAGGTTTGAACACTATTCAAATTGTGGATGTTTTTGAACGGTCCTTCTCGAAGTATTCTTAAGAAAGGCCTTAGGGCGATGTTCGCTTCTGTTTAGACGTGTTAAATGCTCGCAAAGAAACTACTGGTGTCATGCTCCATTTGAAGCGCTATATAGTTTACTAGAAGTAGAAAAAGAACGTATAAATCCGGGTCCTTTTAGACCGAAAACAAGAGAAACAGACAGATACCATACAACATTCTCGGTGACAGCATTTTCAATAAATCTCATAATTGCGGAAAGACGAATATGCCTTTTAAGTTGTAGGTAAACGTTGGCAATTAACAGTACTCATTTCGATACTACATCGGTGGCGTAAGAGACCGAGAGAAAACTGTACTAATGTGTACGTCAATATTCAGACAAATGTTATACGTGCGAACATTTCAAATTACAGAGAATCATGTCGGAAAGAAGAACGAGGTAGGAGTATACATCGCATATTTCTACTTCAACATAATTATAAGTACCACCATGCGCAGCCGCAACTAGAATGACGCAAACATGATCAGCGAGTGTGCAGTGAGACATAAAACCCGATGGTCCTGCTGAGGATGCTCAGGCAACATTGGCAGCTCCCCTAGTTTGAATATCTTAAGTTGGCAAAATAGAAGTTAATAGGTATCCTTATAATTCCGACAGAGTGCAGTGGATAACAAGGACAACACGGCCTGCTTATACGACTGCGAAAGGCGAGAGACCGTACATCAATGCCCGAGATCAAGGTAGGAAGGTCATTGGGCACTATGTTTTACAGTGAAAGAAAAAATGCATGTCGACTATAATAAGGACAGAGTATGCGCTTGGATAGTTACAGAAGCAGTTTTACGAACCGTCCATATTTATCGAAATCAAGAGGCAAAGGAGAGCAAACGAAACTTCATATCTTAATAAATTATTGCAGCATATTCAACAATTCTTTCAGGGACGTTAGTTTGAAGGTGGTTCACAGGCATAACGAATAGAAAAAAAGCACGAAAAAATAAAATATAAAATATGCATGAGGTTAAACCAAACTCATGGTTTAAAAAACGCAACTAACCAGGGTATTTCGCGGTACATTGGCGTCCACTGGGCGTATACCAAACCGGACCGGAGAGTTGGGCAAAACTGACGCCATTGGCAGCTGCTGAGGTTGACCTTTTGACAAAATTTTACATAATCATGCAACGAATAGCTTAAAATGAGGGGTGGGTATTTTCCAAATGTGAATAAAATATATCATTAGGCGGGCAAAACGGCTGGCTAAGAACATAATACGGTGGACATCAGATATAAAGGCTATAAGCTCCAATGCAAGACAGCAAACGAGTTTGTTTAAACACTAAGATGTCAAAAATAATTTTAACCAAGCAATAAATTGCACCTTTAACTTTTTAAACACAAAAAATGCAAAAGACCACAGAAACATGGCCACCTCGAAGGGAGTCCCCCATCGTTATGAATCAGGTGCCAGAAAAAAGGCCTCTTGGCGTATTAAAAGAATAGAGGGCCTTAAATAGCGAATACCTCTCGAACTTAAAAAGCATGCTTTAAATGAACAGTCATTAAATTTCTGTAATCATTTTCTCTTTGACGGCCAGATGTGCAGTCAGAAAAATGCGTAAATTAATGAGAGACTAAAGACTGTCTGCAAGATTAAGTCGTGATTAGGTAGGAGTGCAAGATACTTTTGCAATCATCAAACAAATGCTCAAAACAAATTTAACATTCGCGAACCGAATGCATTCTCTATGTATCAGTTTTCTTTGTAACGATGTGTATTGGTATGCATTCTCGGCCAGACATGTTATTGCACAGCGCAAATTAGAAAAATAAGCGCTCGGGAAGGTAATTTCAGGTGTAATAGTCGTCCCACATTGAAAACAGACATTCCCTGCACTTGAATGGCGCAGAAGCGAGTGCTTCTTTAAGGAAATGTTCTAGAACATACTCTACTGGAATATAACCCCAGCAGTAAACTATAATTCACTTCCGTCTTTGAAAGCCTGAATCTAGAACGGTTTTGAACACAATAGACTGCTCGCATAAAAAGAATCCTCACTCAAGAAACCATAACTCGACGGATTATATGGACGTTCAGCTCTTCTGGGATGTTTTTATAGTTCACCTTATAGAGTGTCTGGGGCAGCTTTGGAAAATATGCAGCCATGCTATAAACGCTCGATCGTCTTTCGGGGAAATTAAGAGGCTGCAACTGTCAACAAACATAAAACAAAGAAATGAGGAAAGACTAAGCAATAGCGCAATGCAAGGTCAGCCAGGTAAAGCGCAAGTAGGACGATGAGATCCAGTCGAAAGAAGGAGTTGATGTAACTGATAAAATCGATGAAACCATGATATCCATGACGGGGCAAAAGGTTGTGACACTGAGCTGATATTTTGGCTGGCAAACCTATGAAAAAGTGAGTTCCACGGGTAAATTAAGTGTCATATAAGTGAAAAATTTTCATTTCATAATGTGCGAAATGCCCTTCAGTGTACCGTAAAAATATTTCTGTTCTACGTCATGTAAATACCGGCGTTAACTTTGTCATTTTGATAAGCTTGGTGGATATCGCGCACGGTTGGTCATGAAAAATGGAACAAAGTAAAAAAAAGTATAAGTAACTTTTACTATATGATCAAACAAGCGCACTGCTGTTTCCGATGGGTTATTGGAAGTTTCGCCAGTTGAGGCAGTGAAAAAGTTTGATATCCGCAGTTGCGTAGGTTCGTAAACGTGGCCGGCAAGCTATGTTTATTAAAAGCTGCCTCTGTCAAACATTTACCTTCTTTTATTTTGAACGGAAATGTCATCGCAAGACCATTTTTGTTCGTCCGTATTCTGATAAATTTATGCAATCATTTGTCATGATTGCCAAATAGAAATGTAACCGGATTCCAAGGTCTGCCAAAAATGCTGGATTTTATAAAGCCCTTAAGGATAGGGTCGAGGAGAAAAATGCACCACATCATTGATAATAGTTCTTAGTTTTCTTTGTAGAGCTGGCGGCAAACTGAAAACAGAATCGGCAGCCATATTTTCTGGGTAATTTATTATCTGGCCATTATAATTATATTAATAATTAACTTAAGAGCTACGGATGGGATTTACTTGGGTCTCGGAAGGCAGGGTTAGTCTCTCTAGTCGTTCTCACGCCGACTACCCGTAGGTTCATAAGAATACTATTTCGTTCATTCATCCGAATCTGACAGACCAAAACTCAATTTGACGTTGGTAAAGCTCCGTCAGTACCTCTGCTAATGACTTGGAAGCGTGGTTTCCTAAAGTGACAAGGTGAACGAATCACCCACTTATGGCTAACCATACTTCTATTCATAGAAATTGCGGAAACCACAAGAATATAACGTTTCAGGTAAAAGGCGGACATGGCAATGTTGAGACGTTATTGAACGAAACTTGGTTAGGCCCCAGAAATTTCCACGGGCAGGGAGTTGTTTGCGATAAGTTCGCAAATCAAGCATGAAATCATAAAGAGGAACACTCAGATTTCAAAATAGCCCGAAGTCAGACTCCATCAGGAAATTGCTGTACGCGTTTCTATTTATGGACGAACCTCCCTAATTCACTTTGATTCTTCCCTGTATAAATATATTTGGGAGTGGATAACACGGTGTGCAATCTCGTTGAAAACTCACCCGTGAAAATGAAAGCAGACGATTTTGCGTAGTGTGCATGTTGTTGGAGTTTAATGCCACTTTCGCAGTCCTTTCCCAGTTTTGTTTGATTTCTTTCTTAAACCTGGCAAAAACCCAAAAATTGACCACGGAGTACTTTGCAAAAAAGCATAATAAATCCATCTGTTTTAGATGCAGTAACCCGAATGTCTGATTTTGCCACGTTTTAATGCACATACAAGGGAAAAATAGCTTCCCAAAGTTAACGTTCTGCCTTCAACTTTCTCATAATGAACAACTCTGTCATCATGCATGCGCTTACACAGACTCCTTGAAGGTTTGATAGCAGACAGTATGCAAATAATTTGACTTTTCATGGCAAAACGAATCACGTGTTGCACTGCAAACATTGTGTCTAACGCTAAGTCAGATTTGTTCCGAATTATTTATCAGTATAGCAAGGAATTAACTGTCTTGACCGCGTGCGCTTGCATATGTTAATCAATGACATCTGTTGCTCGATCGGGCACAGGCAGTTCCTAGGTGCCACTTCCTGCTCCCACACATTGCCCTGCGCACGCTCATTTTAATCGACATCTTTTCATTCCTTTCTCGTCACGTTCTCTAAATGTTCTTTTTTTCCTCCCGTTATGTTTACAGCTGCAAGTAGCCGCAACGGACTTCGACACGTACAACGGGAAGAGATTGAAATCTTAGGAAATATTAGCGAAAAAGTGAGGTGATTGATACCGTCTGACACATCGTCGTCGTACACATCGTCTGACAGCTCGACAACGTCTATTGAGTCGTCGCTCTCCTACGATGACCCGGAGTTTGAAATAAGCAACGCCTCCAAGTATGCAATGGTCTCCTCGAGTGTGTTGACGGGGCAGATAGCAGGGGAAAGCCAACGCTGTTTGAGACCTTGGGCGATGTTGCAGCACGCTCACAAAAGGCTCACTTGGGCCATTTATACTAGGCAAGTCATTACACTAGAGAGAAAATAACGTCACGGATTTTCAGTTTTTTCCCTTACAATGATAAGCCTGAAATCAAACCTAAATTGCGGACAACATTTCGTCGTTAATGATACTGTCTGCGGTCTCGGCGCCATATTTGACCGAAAATTCATCATAGCCTATAGGGCCTTTGGACATGTGTTCGGTGTTCCGGTAAAACGAGTAGTGCTGACTTCTTCGACATCTGCTATCAACAAAGGACACCCAACGTCGGAAGAAGGATCGAGTCTTGGCTTAGAGACTTACCCCATAACGAATACATCAACCAGAATTGCATTGACGCGAAAACGCTAAGACTATACTACAAATACTGGCGCCAGTATTCGCCTCTACTATCGGAGGGAAAAGGAGAAACTAAATTACTTAGGTTGCCAGCGAAACGAAGACAGTGCCATGGCTGAAGAAATTCATCGTGCGGAAAAATCACCAATTTCATAGTGATTGAGGAATGCCTTGGCTTCTATCGCAGAATAAAAGTAGCGTTAGTCAGTGATACTTTTTCGGTATAGAGTCATCTGATGATGACAGAATACCAGACTGTAGTAATACTCTAGCTTACATGGACTGTCGTGTACTGCTTGAGGATTTCGGGACACTTTGATTTCTAGTCCACGACTAAAGTAATCAGTGATATCCGAAAGCATTTAAAAGAGGAACGATGTAATTAATCTAAAGCAACCGCATAGATTATGCATTCAACGATTTTCAATACTGCACATAGGTGCTGTCAAAACCCTGTTTCTTTCGTTTACGTATTTGCATATGCAGTTTGCACTTATGTTTGAAGTGGATTCGCAGCCTCAAATATTTATCTGCAAGCCATATACCTGACTCACACGTTAATTTAGCCAATTCCACACTTGTTTTCCAGGCATTAGTTATTGTATCATGCAGCATACAAGCTACAAAATGAAAAAAGGAGCAAATTAATTAACTGTTAGTCCCTGGTGAAAGGCTTATTGCACAACGACTAACTATTTTTGTTCTCCCTGTTAACACGCATTTTTGTGGGTGCCTCGGCAACCTCAACCACTATTTAACAGTCAATGTTCTCAAATTCTCAGATAAACTTGAAAATAAGTATTCGCGTTGGATATTCCAGACATACATTTAAAAGATCTGGTAACAAAGCTGTTTTTGAAATTATAGCCCAAGATTGGAATCAGAGGCATAGCAAATGGAGATTAAATTGCCCAGAAAAATGAAGAAATTTTTGGAAACAAAACAGGGAAATATTGATAAGTCAAAGAATTCATTAGGGGAAAATATCGAGAAGTAACTGACGAGAACTGTGACAGTCACAAAGGCAATTTACTGAGTGATACAAATAACAGCAGACTGTGCTCGTAAACAAAAAGGACCAAATACGAAAACAAAAAAATTGGGCCGGATATCAACCCAAACTCTCCAGGTAAGGGCCTGTCACGCTTTATAAGTCATAAGTCAGTTTATTAAGGGAATGAGGCTTTTGCCCTTGAGCACCCTATTCATGTCGATAAACAGAAATAAAGTCATCAATTACATCAGCAAATGCGAAACGTTAAGAAGTTAGCGGTAACTGTGAGCCAGGCGCAAACTGCCGCCCCTAAAACAATCATGATTGTATGTACAGTAGGTTCTCAACAAGTGAGCGTCTAGTCTGCACTTAAAGGATTTAACACTTTCGGAAAGAACGACGGCATCAGGGAGTCCATTCCATGCCCCGACGACCCTGTGTGAGAAGGCGTTCCGTCGGACGTCCGAATGAGCCCGCTTCCTTTGCAGTTTGAACGGATGACCACGCAGACGGTCAGTCCGGGCCAATTCAAAGAAGTCATCAAAATCTAGGGCACACTCACGGCTTCTGACAATCCTGTAGGTTTGAATGAGATCGCCGCGCAGTTGCCTGTAATTTAGAGGAAACAGATTTAGTTCAGTCAGCCTGGTTTCGTAAGGCAAATGATGAAGATTCTTGACCATCTTCGTAGCCATCGCCTGTACTCTTTCCAGTCGTTGATAATCTTTCTTTAACCACGGTCGCCAGGCCTGGACTGCATACTCTAAGTGAGACCGGACGAATGCCCCATAGGTTTTTCCGAACAGCTCCTTGTCGATCTGCCCAAATCCTCGCCTCAGCGCAAATAACACCCTTATCGCACTTTTGGCTGCCCTTTGACACTGTGAAGATGGTTTCAGCGAGGAGGTCATAAGGACTCCCAGGTCTTTCTGTTCCACAACATTTGAAAGGGACTGACCACCAAGGACATATTGAAAGGAATCGACCCCCTTACTGGTCTGTCTGGTGCGGAGTCTCAGGACCACACATTTGTCCACATTAAAATTGAGGAGCCAGCGAGCTGACCAACTGTTTAGGCGGTTGAGACTGTCTTGAAGCGCGTACCTGTCTGCATCAGATCTGATGGGTCTCCACAGCTTAACATCGTCAGCAAACATGATGGCGCTGCATCCCAGGTCGTCGACGCAGTCGTTAATGTAAACCAGGAATAGCAACGGCCCTAAGACGGAGCCCTGGGGTACACCACTTAAAACGGGAGTCGGAGTTGACCTTGAGGCCTCAACGCACACGGTTTGCGATCTCCCGGTAAGAAAATCCGTTATACATGTCAGCAGCCTTCCTCTTATCCCAATTTCAGAAAGTTTGTAGATAAGGCGTTTGTGTGGGACGCTGTCGAACGCCTTCTTAAAGTCTGTGTATATGACATCAACCCTCCCATCCTCATCCAGTGCGCGAGTCCACTGCTCCGTCGAGAGCAATAAACTGGAAAGACACGAGCGGTTCTGTCTAAAGCCGTGCTGCAGGTCTGAGATTAAATGGCCCTGCTCCAGGAACTCCATAGTTGTTTTCTTAACTATGGCCTCCATTATTTTACAGCAGATGCAGGTTAGACTAACAGGCCGGTAATTGTTAGCATTAGTGCGAGCCCCGCCCTTGTATATCGGAAAGATATTTGCTGTCTTCCATTCCGATGGCAACCTCCCTTATTCGAATGACGAGCGGAAGATGTGCGCCAGTGGTTTGGAAAGTTCATTCGCCAGTTCCTTCAAGAATTTGGCCGGTATATTGTCCGGACCCGAGGACTTTGCTTCTTTGAGATTTTTCAGCTCCCTTTCCACGGCAGCTGCCGGGAAGAGTATGGAGTCAAGCACGGGACCAACAGTCTCAAGAGCATTGCCGGTACTGCAACAGCTAAACTCAGTTTCTCTAGTAAAAACGGAGGCAAAATACTGTCCTAATTGTTCGGCTTTCTCGTTGTTCTCAATGATCTCTACACCATTATCATCCTTCAGCACCGCGACCGGGTCCTTATTTTTCAGTCTACTGTTCAGATTGTGAAATAAAATCTTAGGCTTCTGTTCAGCCTGTCGTATAATTTTGGATTCATACTCCTTCCGTGCCTGACGGATACATTTTTTGACGGCGTTTCGTTGACGACGAAATTCTTCGAAATGCGCTGGTGACGCAGTTTCCCTGAATATTTTCCATCTTTTGCTTTTCTTCCGTAGCTGCTTATTTAGGTCCCTAGTTAACCAAGCAGGTCGACTAGTTGTTTTTTGTACTTTAGGTGGACAACAGCGCCTAATCAGATCGAGTGAATTCGTTTTAAAAGATCTCCAGTTGTCCTTCGGATCTCCCCTGAATATTTGGTCCCAATTCACGGACAGCAATTCGTTCTTCATCATATTAAAATCTGCCTTCCATATATTAGGTTGGCCCTCTGTTCTCTTCTGGCGTTTAGAGAAGAGCGAGTAATCCCATAATAGCGTGGTATGGTCACTTTTCCCGAGAGGTGCATTGGAATACACTTCGTCGATATTAGAGAAGTCTTTAGTGAAAACTAGGTCTAGACAATTTGCTCTCTGGTTCTCTCGAAATCTCGTTGGTACCTTCACATGTTGCGCCAGAGGGAGATCGAGTGTGAGGTCCAGTAGCTTATTGCTGAAAGAGGCTGGTCCACCATTAACTGCCATAGTTTCCCACTCTATTGCAGGTGCGTTGAAATCCCCAGAAATAAGTACGTCTTGGTGGCTAGCTACGTCTTTGACTAAACCAAGGAGCGACTCATCAGCTGCACTCAGAAGATTTGGTGGTCTGTAAATCGCCAGAAATTCTAGATTTTGCGCATTGATCTTCTTTATCTTTATCCAGACGGATTCATATTCAAGGGATAGGGTGTGGGCTCTTTCAACTGCTGAAATTCCTTCCCTTACATATATGACTACCCCTCCGCCCTGCCTATTTTGACGGTCTCTACGAAACAGCTGGTAACCCGGTATCGAAATCTCAGCATCCATGATTTCGGCATTAAGTCAAGTTTCCGTTATGGCGACGACGTCGGGGATTTGTTCCGGTACTCTCGCTTTGAGTTCGTCGATTTTCGAAACGAGACTTTGAGCATTGGTATACAAAAATCTCAATTTGGCACGAGCAACTCCGGCATACAGGCGTTTATCCATTTCTTGGGATTGAATGCAAAAGCCGGTCGGAGTTGATCGGGATGAACTGCTTTCCATCACTCCTAAGCTGTTAGAGTTATGGGCTTTCTCCAGAGGAATGGCCTCTGGACGCGTATAATTTTTCCGTCCACTATTCGGAGATTTGTCTCGCCCAGACTCGACCGCCTGAGGACTTCCAATTTGAGCCCCCTCCATTTTTCTCGCTCCGCGGGTGAAAAGTCCCGCTGAAAAAAAAACTGATGGATGGGCGTGTTTAAGAGCAGCTTTCCTGCTCAAAAGTAGCTGTGCTTGTTCGTCATTCTCAAAGACAATTTTTAACGGTCTCGGTCGGTCTGGAACTTGTTCTGAGTCTTTAATTTTGCCCATCCTGAAAGCCTTTAATACTGTGACTTTTTCGTCTCTTATTAAGATCGATTTGAGATATTCCTGGAATATTTCTATGTCATGTTGTATTCTGTCCTTTGAAGCGTCGGAAACAGACTCAGGCATGCCCTTTATAACGATGCATTTACTGCGATCAACTAGACGGCCTTGTGGTATAATCATACCTACAGAGTCTTCATCACGTGCATCCCGGCTACAACCTTCCACCGATTTAGGAAGGTTTGATTCAGCAGGACAAACGCATGACTGCCTGTTAACTACGATCTTTTGATCATTTTTCGTTTTCAGCGGCGCGATTTTCGTGTGCGGCGTAGCCAACTCTTGTTCCCTCGTCTGACTCTCTGTGCCTTTTTGAGGTACCCTGAGATTTCTTTTTGCTCGCTGAGATCGCGTCTGACCGCGCTTTTTTCGCACAAGACACTGGGTGTCATTCCTATCAAGCTCTAGCGACCTACTATTTTCTTTCTCCTTCGTCGACACAGCCGAGGAAGCCGTGTTTGCGTAAGTTCGCTCGCTTTCATTCTCTTTGGATGAACAGCGTGGGAGATTCCTCAGCTTCTCCATCTCCACTTTAAGGCCCTTTATCTCCCTCTCCATTTCCGCAAATTTTTTAAGGAGTCCGAAACATGTCGTACAGGCTTCGTCTTCGTATTTGATATCCATAAAACTTACTTGGCTCCTTGCTCGTTTAGCGGGAGGTGACTTAACAGCGATATATAAAGAGTTGCAGTCATTTGTACTACGAATAATGTTTACTCCTTTATTTATTTCAGTCCGTTTGGCCGTGCCTCGATAGTGTAGTGGCGATCACGCTGCTCACCGCACGACGGGACCTGGGTTCGAATCCCTCTTTGGGCGAGTTTTTTGCACATTGTCCTGACGGTGTTTTGTCGACTCCCATTTTTAATTCGAAGGATATGCAAGGTATTCTAGGTACGGCACGAAGTATTTAAAGGTGTATGAGAAGCTTTTTAACCAAGCCAACAATATGAAGCAAATAGCAAACGACTCAGCCGCTCTTGGATCAGGAGAGTCCCGAGGTGCTGTTGGTAGAGAATTGATAGGAAGGAGTATGGTCGTTCCAAAGAAAGTTCTGTCGGAGTTCCGTGTGGATCGTTAGAGGAATTGCTGATTAAGCTTCGATTTCTTAATCCAAATGGGCCCGCGATGCGTCCAGTAGGCAGAAATCCCAGAAAAGGCAAATCCCTCGGAGGTCGAAAATTCGAAACCGAATTCGAAAGGCGCGCAACATGGTCCTTTCTGTGTGACAAAAAGGACTCATGCATGCGAGACGTACTGTTGCCCGCAATCGGGTGGAAAGATATGACATGAAAAACTGTAAGCATATACCAATTCAGCAAAGAGCTTAAAACAATCTTACTTGAAGTCCATGAAGTACCGTGCACAGTATTTTGGCCTATTACAAGACCTAGATATGTCCAACGTTGGTCGAACATAAAATTGTGTTGAATAAAAGTTTCACTTATGCATTATGCATCCTGTCAAAAAGTCTATGTTCATTGCTTATGTTATCGTGCTGTATGTAGTATGAATTTGGAGGGACGAAAGCTTATAGTCGATGTATGGCTAACAAAAAATCAAAGATGATCATATGTCCGAGATCTGAGAAAAAAATGCTGGGGAAGAAATTTGCTCTCCTGACACCGAGCCTGTCCAAAAATACCAGTACCATAACTGAGGAATATGCGACAGGACAAGAGACAGTATTTGGTTACCAACCGAAAGACGGAGCAGCATAGAATAATTTTAAAAGAAGTGCAGCGTACAAAGTGGTCTTTAGTCGCAGGAATTTAATGAAATGAAGTCCCCACCCGTGAAGATTCCGACAGGCATGCATTCTTTTATGGAGGATTCTGTCCACTTTTTCCACATGATAAGTGATAGATCTAATTGTGAATCACTAAAGCTCATTAGTGTACGCTATTTCGATGGCGCTTGGTTAGACTTGGTTTACGCCGAATGGTTCGTAGACACATTTCGCTATTTTTTGTTCTTTTGTGAGTTTCTTTAAGTGCAGAATCGTTCTCTCAGTAAACTCGAAAATGATTTGTATTTACATGCGTTTAGGTTACTTTAAGGTTCCCCTAGGGTGGGCTATCTGAGCATTGTCGTCACTGATCGCGTAATTAGCGTCATTTTCACTAGTCAGAGGGGTTTGTCTATTCTTCTCGAATAAATGTTTTCTGCTCTGTCGCCCTTTAGATATATTTTAGTCCAAAAAGATGAAATTTCCCACTAGAGGTGTGTTGTACAATGTCGCTCATGTTAGTTGATGTCGGGTCTTCCGGGAAATCTTCGTAATGGATATCCTTCATTCTAATTCTGTAGATACAACTGTGTAACAGGGTTTCCAACCGATCGGCCTTCTGAAAACATTAATTGACATGGGATCATTATCGTTATTGTTTGTTTTCTTGTCGTTAAAACATCCCGAGCAATACACGCTGCTTCTTTTACTGTTAACGCCAATGCATGCTGCTATACGCTAACTATCTTACATTGTGCAGAGAACGTATAAGGGGCCCGTGACGTGTCGGAAGGTCCTGGGACAGTGCTGGTAGATGAGGCAGGAGTGATGACCTATGTGAGGACTCTTGGCACTGATTGTCATGCCTCAGAGCAAGTGATCGACCAGACTGATGCGCGATTCAGATGTGCGGCTGCCATGTGGACAGGTTAGAACTGGCTCATATTGCTGGTGTAGCGGGCGATGATGGTGATGGTCATTAGGATGGCAGGTGTCCTCGTTGGCGATGCTTTTGGTGTCTTGAAAGAGCGGCGGTTTGGTCGTGTTGACATTGCACCACAATCGGAGATGTCAGATGAGACCGATTCGTGCCACGAATGTTGGCAATATAGGCACGATGATATGTTTTGAGTGCTTGTCTTATTAGTTCGCGAGTCTTGAATCGTGCTAGCTTCTCTTACTTTTCAGTTGTCCTCGAAGATAGCCCCTCTGGTCTCTATGTCAGTGCGCCGGATTGCCGATCCTGAGAGCGGTCCTTCCTGGGCGCACGGTTGATTTGCCGGTGTTTAAGGGAGTTCCTCTGGCTCTTGTTGTAGCGCAGCCTTTTGTTCGCATTGTTCGACAGAGCCTGCGGCCACGTCGCCATAGAATTCGCTCTTGTGTTGACGCTCATTGTCCATCTTCACCACGTGGCCAGACCAATGCAGTTGTATTTACCTCAGCATTTCGAGATACCGACGGCGCTCGTGCTTTATAGGACTTCGATGCCCGCAAATCTTCCTTGCCACCTCACTTTTATTCTTCTCTAGAGGTAGCTCAGATAAAAACGGTTTAGGTGTTTCAGCGTGGGTTACGTACACAGTCCACGTCTCTGGCCTACACAGTAGCGTTCTCAGGATGGAAGCTCAATACATCCTCAGTTCCGTATTCATCTAAGGCTCGGGGAAATTCCAAACTGGTTGCTGCATTCACGAAGTGGATGTCTGCAGTAGCCTCTTCGCAGATTGAGCACGCTTTGTGAGTGCGCAGCCCGGCGCTCCAGGCTCTGCGACTTCTAGCTGAGCACTGGGGCAGTCTTATTGACTTGGGAACTGTAGACTATTTTGATGGATTCGGGAAAATTTTTTTACATCGCCGCGGTCAACATATCGCTCGGCTTACACAGCCTTGTAAGCCAGCCTGTCAATCTACGCCACCCTCAGCTTCTGATACACTAGCCTTAGAAATTGAAAGTATGCAGCTTACCTTACATCACTGTTCTAGACAGTGTAGGCCGTGTGTGAATTGCTTTTCTTGGAGAGCAGATTATGGATTTATTTTCATTGTCATTGAACCAGTCCTCATGTAGTCGACGTGTGCAGCTGAGGATCTCTATAGAGATTGCTTTGGTGGCCTCTCTCAGCTCTTTCCACTGGGTCTTGACAGTGGTGTTCACCTCCGAGTCTCACATATGTACAGGGTTAAAATTCAGTCAACTGTTAAAACTAAGTCTACACTACGCCGTATCCAGTGATACAGCACTCAACTCACCTGCGGTTCGCTTACCTTGCCACCATCTGCGGGGCTGGACACCACATTTGTCACTAGTACATCACGTTGGTCATATCTCCGAACGAGGATGTAGTCCAGCGGATCCCAACGACGCGAGCGAGGGTGCATCCACGTCGTTTTCTTCGGAGTCTGGAGGCGAGAGATGTTGAGTAGTAGAAAACTGTGTTCCGTCTACGTCTGCTGGAGAAGGCCATTGCTGTTGCTGCTACCGACCCCATAGCCCTTCTTCCAAAGACAGTCAATCTGGCTGTCTTCGTCACAAAGGCTAGGAGGCCGTACAGGCCTTTGTCGAAATTGTCATTCATGTCATCGTGGCTGGTTACTGAGAGGAAGGTAGGGAGCTTAGATACTGACGACCGTAGCGAATTTGTCCCGACAAAGAGGTAGTCTCATGGTCATAGAACAATCGCTGAGGCCCTACAACAGGTAGGACAACCACCCAACAACGTCTTTCCTGGTGGCTAATGCGACTCCAACGTCTCTTAGCTCTGCCTTTTGACGACCACTCTAAAAGAAGGCGTGCTTGACATCCAACTCCATTTTTCTGTCTCGAGATGCAGGTCTTACAGAGCCGAAATTTCCACTTCGTAGTCGCCAGTTCTTGGACGACCAGGACCGTCTTTCTGATCGGTTAGTCGTCAGATTGACTAAAATTGAACGTACATACCAGACTGTTAAGGTGATCAGTGTTGATCTGGCAGTCTGTGCGGATGCACAAGCATGACACCAACAGTTGGCGTCTGTTGTGCTGTTTGGATTTTATACTTTGCGCCCTTAGGCCTCGACCAACTTGCAGCATGTGCAAATTTTCGGTATATATTTAGGGAAAATGATAGTTCCATTGATCTTATTATGCTGATAGTCAGAGTCGAAATAAACCGATAGTCTATCTTTGGAGCCTTCGGATCCCGAGCTGTGCGTGTAGACTTCCGCTGTAAGGTAACCCCTACCATGTGATTCATTGCTCATGCAGTCTTTCCTAATTGTAAGGATATTCACGACTTTCGACTAACCTCAGCCTTAATTATACTCCCGGACGATCGTCCTCAAACTGAACGATGATCGAATTGGCTTATCCTACCGTTTGAAGTCTGGCCAAAATGTTCCCCCGTCAAATTGTGGTATTTCACATTTACACTATTGCCTAATCCTCTGGTTACTTCTGCTCGACTTACTTGGTTTAATTATCTGATCATCCGATATCACTAGTCAGTCAAATTGTTCAACCAGGGGTTCCATCTGTGCGCCGAGACTGCTGTGCACGTTAGGCTTTGATTTTTGTTGTTGTTTCGGTCTGTATCGATGTTGGCTTAGCCGACTCTAAAGTCCGATTCCTAGTTATCTGCGGCGATGTGGCGCAGGCGAGGTCTCGGTATCCGCAAGGCTCATTCAGAGACACTGCAAGACGACGGGATTGTTATCAGTCGGACGCCAGCTCGAGAGATAGGATGAACAAGATCAAATAGATGAATCAGGACGAAGGTGTGCCCTGGAGTAGGGTTTTAATGGTGTTACTGTTGGTACACCGGAGCTGAAGTTGGAAATTGAACAGAAATTA